AACTTTTTGATCCGATCTGCTCAGAAAGAGCCTTCTACTAGCTGCAGAAAAAATCTTGCAGTTGTATCACAGGCATACGTAGCGATTACACTAAAAATCCTGAAGCGTGGAAGAAAATTTTGAAAACGCCATGGTTTTTCCAAAATTTTTAAACTGTCGGAGCCGCATTAGTAAAGTTAAACTCAACTCCGAAGAACCAAAAATTATAATAATTTCTTGTATACACTTTCTTAACACCTTTCATTCTATTATTTTTAGTTTATATATTTTTTATAAAACGAAGTGACAAACGATTTAACGGTTTAAACGATGGTAAGTAACTACTGTAGCTCATGGATCACCTACAATCATCAACATAAAGCTACAGACTCATTCATACATACAGACTTTTTATACGTGATAGAGCCATGCTGCAGTTATATTAGAAGTACAGTTGTAGCACGAATGGTCGGCTCGACCGGGGAAGGACCACGCCCTCACAGAATACCAGCGTAAAACTGTAGCATATTGCTGCTGTGTTTTATGGTGAGTGTAGAGAACCGGAGACCCTTTTTACTTGAAACGAGGCATTCCATCTTAGTCCTCACGGGTGACAACGCATCTGCATTTTGATTCGTATTCGAGGATAGATGTAGATGTCTATGAGGCACAACAACCACTTACCATCAGGTGGACTTTGTGACATATCTTTATATGTAATATATGTAAATTACGTGTCAAGTTGTTTGTCCGCAATGGACTCCTAAACTACTGAACCGATTTTAATCAAATTTGCACACCATGTGCAGTTTGGTCCAACTTGAGAGATGGGATAGTCTTTTTACCCATGAGTGACCCACAATTTTTTTTGCTAATTTAAGGATCTTTAATAGGACATGACAAAGGGTCATCGAATAGGGCAGAACAACGTCTGCCTGGCAAGCTAGTCCTATGTAAAAAAGAGTGTTGTATTCGTACTAGCTCCTTTATCCTTCAGACCACAACAGAGCAGTATTTCTACCAAGAAGGTGTAGCTACCCAGAGGCAACCTTAGACAGAAAAGGGTTCTTACCATCAAGATCATTTTTTTAGTAACGTTTTATTTCGTTAAACAAACAAAAAAAACTTATTGTCTTCTGTTATTTTTGCTGTGAAATGTTTTCTATGATAGATGCCAAAAAATAAAAAAACAACATGATGGTTAATTAGAAAAAAACTACGTGTTCTTAATATATTTGAATATGTGCATGTGATAGACATATACACAAAGGTTCTCAAACGATTTCTATGTCAACTAGCTTTAGAAAACGATCAAGAAGTTCCAAGGAAATAAAGGATCGTACAGGAAAAGAAAACAGACTTGTTGAAATCTAATTTCGCGTAACCATAACGAGCCGGCACTTGAACGCGATGAGCTATCCGCGACAGACGCTCGACTCATGTCAATTTCATAATTGAGTCTCCGTCTCAGCCTTTGGAAAAACTTAATGAACATATTTCTTAACCTTTAATAACTTAAACTGGATTATTTATCATTAGTATGGTGAAAAATATTTTTACATTAAATTTCAAAAAGCCGTAATTGTCGCTCGATATAACCACGATTACAGAAGCTTTTATACGGAAATTATTTTATTTTTTTAATTATTGTAATTAAAGCTGACATTTCCTTTTTAATTATTTTATTTTTGACCGTTTTACGTGGACTAAGGAATATCACAAGCTCAAGGTAACGACTAGAAGGGCGTAAAAATAATATACTTCATCTATTTTCTCGTCCCCCTAAGGTAGAATTTTTCCCCCTAACTTATATGGGGTTACACCTGAAATATAAACTATTTGATTTCTTATGTTTACGCTAACACTACGCATTTAAATAAAAGTAGTTTTATTTAAACATAAACTAATTAATAAAAACGAATCATTAAATTCAATTAAAAATTGTTGAAGACATCGCGTAGCGTAACAAACATACAATAAAAATAAACATTTTAGTTATCAATTCAACTAAGTATCAGTTGAATTGAAAACCTCCCCCTTTTTAATTCGGCTTAATAAATAGGTAAATACGAGATAAAGACGATAATATAAGACTTTTGTATTATAATTGTATTTTCTTTATTAATATTAAACATATAATATAAGATACGCGATAGAATCACGTCATAGCTTCGATACTTATGGCTGACACAAAATACCAACGTAAAGAAGCAGCAAAATGCTTCTATTTAATATAATTAGCGACGAGAACGATATATTTTACTGGTAACGAGGCATTGCATCTTAGTCCACAGGGGAAACAAAAAAAGGCATTTTATTTGATTTGACCACTTAACATCAGGTACAATTTGCACGGATTGTTTGCCGTTTGTAAAGGTCAACAAAACATTGTTCTTTTATACTCCTAACCAAACGCCACTCTTTGTCTCTTTTTCTTTTTTTGAGGTTTGCTTCCAATGCACGTAGTCGGACCTTCCATGTACGTGAATATTTTTAATTACACAGTATGTAAATATCCCTAGTTTCAATGGCGCCCCTTATATCTAAGCAAGCTAGCAAACTTAGTTCTGAAGCATATGCTGTAAAATAAGTTCTCACCAAAAACATTTTCATGTAAAATGTTGCCAAGACGAGACCATATGGCTCGCACTAACAAAATGTCGAAGAGTCAAGCTTCTAACTCTACACTCCCTGACTCTACAACTTTGCATCTTAGTCAAAATATGTGGCTCGGCCGGTTCATTACTACCATAAAAGCTAAGTACAAACTCCAAATATAGCATAAAACCTAAGTTTTAAATAATATCGAATAATATTTTTCTGCAATGGAATGGAGGTTAAATCGAAATGTTATCGTAATTTAGGCTCTGTGTTGTTACTATATATACCGTTATAATACGTTTAAAATAAATTATTTTAATTTATAATGCTCTTCCACATTCGCCCCGAGTGCCTCTGTCCTGTATTGAAAATATGTATTGATTGATATAATATATATATATATATATATATATATATATATATATATATATATTTATTTACACTTTATTGTACTAAAGGTACAAACGGCGGACTTGCATGCCATATGACATTTTCCACCAGCCAACCGGGAAGTTAAGTGGGAGATGTGTGTACTGCAGTGGGTTAAGATGGAACCTAAAATTGATACCACAACACATACATACTCGTAGCTCAAACTTAATTAAATATATATATAAGTATCTAACAGATTAAATGTTAATGTTATAGATTATTTATATATTTATGTGTCAGATGAACCCAAATAATGTTCCTTTACTTTTGTTTTAAAAATCCTAGTCCATCAATCAGCAGGACGTATGTTATGAACCGTACATAAGCTTGCCCACAAGAGAACGTTGATGACCATAGAGAGCATTATTCAAATTTAGCCCTTGATTTTATGTATGGTGATAGCAAACGAGATACAAATTGGAAACTGTTCACGGTGAGCGATGCTTTATTGATGATTTCAAATTTTGATTTTTAGGTGCTAGTTCGTGTCTAAGACCGTTATTAAAAATTCCTACAACTCTTATTGCTTTATTCTTGTCGTATGAATCCCATTATTATACTTTTCAACATTGCCTACAGTATTATTGACGAGACCCAAACAAACGTTTATATTTCATTTAAGCTTTACTTGCACTCCTTTTTTAATAACTATAGTTTTTTCAATGGACTCACGAGCTCTTTTTACAAGATATCTCGAAAAATGGACATAATCTATGGCTTTAAGTGAAATTTCCGGATTAGGAATAGCTTGCAATATTTAGTTGCTGAGCAATATTTCTAGTCGGTAACAAACAAACTGTATCTTCAGGAAGCCGACTGAGTCATTCAGCTATTATGTGTCTATCCTCTACTATCATACGAACCTGATTTCAGTGTAATTAAGTCTGTGTGCTTGTATAACTTTCAGAACTCTAGCATGAAATTTACTTTGTATGCGGAAACCAACGTATTTTTAACAAGGCGTAACAAGGTCCCTATATCAATTTTCAGATCTCTAGCATCAAAATTTGCGGAAGTCTAATACAAATTTTCATCCCCTAGTTTAAGGGGTTAGGGAATAAAGTTCAAAGTTTTAGATTTTTTGTTGTTTGTGTCAGTTTTTTTAGACATCAATAAAATCTAAAGTAAAAAGGCTCTGTAATTGAAACTTTATACATTTAATAAGTCTACTATTAACATTATATTCCATAAATTTTGGTTACCCGGTTTAATCCAAACCCAAGTTATGAGGGTTCAAAAAAAACTACGAAGCGTTTGGAGAAATATTAGGTAGTGTTTCGTTTTGGTCTGGTTGGCTTGTCTTGGCGCGGGCACTACTGTGCCCCATATTGAAAAAAATGCTTACATTCTCTTCTATTCTAGCGATTTATAATGCGATTCAAATAAGAATAGTAACGTCAATGACCTTGAATGACCCCGATCTGTCAACTGTCACTTGAAAAGTAAGTCTTGCATAGAAAATTCATTTTCCACCATAGACTTATTATACTTCGTCATTTATATCGATGTTTTTCACTTTTGGATTTATTTAACTTAGTATAGTAACTAGAGTCTTATTATTACGTGTGAATCGTACTAAATCTATTGAAAGTCATAATTAGTTTTAAAATTAATTTAAACTGTTTTTTTTCTATTATCATTGCTGAAGTCACAATAGTCAGTCCTATTTTTTTATCGTATTGCATAGAACCGACAACCGATGGCGAAAAAAGGTTCTCGAGTGGTAGCCTCGTACCAGTAGGCGTAGTGTAGCGCGATCCCCCACTAAATGGAGTAACGACTTCCATACATGCAGGAAGTCGATGAATGCGGGTGGCTCAGGACAGTGTGGGTGGCTCAGGACAGTGATGATGGTGATGACAGCATGCTTGCTTCCTATGGAATTTAAAATATTGAACAATGAATATATAACAAAATAAGTTTTTATTCTACCAATGACGTGTGTATATTATTATTTCCAGCATAATTTAATATGTTTACAAGTGTACTTAAGCCTGCGACGGCTGTTCAACTTCCTCTGCTTCGTTTAAATTATCCTCGGTGGTTTTCGTTTGACTTAACGGATAAGGGCCTTCATTACAATGGGGTCCATCACACGAGAAGTTGTCGAACTCGCAATATTCTCCCACAATATTCTGTAAGAATGAAATATAATTCATATGAAAGAAATATATAATTCATAATATGATATTACAAAAAATAGAAAAAAAAAAGAACAGAGCTTGCACTTTTGTAGTCAGCGTCGCCAGCATATTGCATAACTGAATCCGACATCAACGTTTCCCAAATTAATGTATTTGCTAAAGAAAAGAGCTACGCGAGCAACCCAAATTCGAACCCCGCCTGCACCAATGAAATTTTTAATTGCAATTTTAAGTGCTGATTTACCATGTGCTCGGCGGTGAAGGAAAACATCGTGACTATACCTGCATGTCTGAGATAATAAAATAAAAATTTGAAAACGTGTGAAGTTCGCCAACAGCCATGATTGTAACGCGACGGACATTTCCTTGGCCTAAAACCCTCTCAGAAATAAGGGGACGCCTGTACCCAGCAGTAGGACCTATATAGGCTGTAACTTTAAATTTAACTAACGTACTAACTTTATTATAGTAAAGTATTAACCTTATCTTTATTAAAAAAAAATATAGAATCAGGCGCTAATTTTCTGAAATAAAATTTATTAAAGATATAAAACAGAATTAGAAGATCCGCGCGAATGATAAAAAGATGAAAATTGCAATGTTGTGATAGTGCACACATTTGTGGGAGGAAAATGCTTTTCAAAATAGTGTGATGTATATATACTATTTTGTTGTAATTTTTTAAACCGAACGAATGTAGTAGGAAAATACCTAATAATAAGGCGATTCCTCAAACCAAAAGAAATAATATCACCAAGAAAATTTTCAACCGTTTTTATAAGATATAAAATACTCGTATAAATACATAAACTAAACCATTTATTATTTAATTAGAAGTTGGTTTCTGTTTATTTAGGAAATACAACATTTTCTTTACATCACCGCTTCATCGTGGTAGTGCCATGCTGCAGCTATATTAGTATAATAGTTGTACAACAAATGGGTCGGCTCGACCGGTGAAGGACCACTAAAATAGCAGATTAACGCTGCTGTGTATTCGTATGGTGAGTGTAGAGAACCGGAGACCCTTTTTACTGGAAAAGAGGCATTCCATCTTAGTCCTCACGTGTGACGCATCTGCATTTTGATTCGTGATCGAGGATTGATGTGGATGTCTATGGACCGTAGCAACCACTTACCATCAGGTGAACTGTGTGCTCGTTTGTCAACCTTATCTTATAAAAAATATAGCCGTGTCATTGGGTTCGTTGTTTACTAACGACGTAGCATGCTGCTGAAATAGACTGCCTTGACTGGCTGCTGCCGGGCGAAATGGTGACGCTCTGTACGTGTGAATATTTTGCGGGAACAGTGCATGAAGTGTGTCCGTGGTTCTAAAATCGAGTAATTGTTAAACGAAGTCTCGGATTGGGCACGAATAAATCCAATCTAGTTTCATCCTGAGAAGACTCCGCTTTGTGCGTGTATCGCTGAGAAAAAATTCGAAATCCTTGGGATCGACATATCGAGTGACTTCCAGTTCCACAATCACTCGGAAGTTAAGGCCAATTGGCCTCTTGAAAGTTTTGTGTTCTCAGTAGAATGAGATCATGGCGGCTCACCATCTGCAAATTCATTTCAGCCTAACATTTAATACATTTTTCATCTTTGGGTTCCAGTACCATCTATCTTCTACCACTTGAGTGCATTCAACGGCGAGCAGCTCGAATCGTCGACTTCCCTAAAGACGTTGCATTGATTTGAATTAATTCCAGCTGTTAATTTCCACCATCGTACATTACGACAAAGATTTAAATTTCATAATACACATCATATCATCTCGATAATGGATACTCCACTACTGTGCGTTTTACCAAGAATTTTCTCCCTTGCACAACCACATTTTGGAATTTAAACAAAAGAGCGTATGTACTCTTTACTATTGAATAATAGTTTTATATCTATATCATTGGGGTGACAAACGAACAATGACGGTAAGTGATGCTAGGAACAGCATTACGTTACTACTTTGCGGTGGTATGGTCTTACCCCGGTCGAGCTGACCCGTTCGTAATACAACCATAATATAGTATCAGCGTAGCTCTACCACATTAAAGATACCAACAAAGTATTTACATACGTCGACAAAAATCTTTAACTGTCGTTTTTCTTTTTCAAAAAACATTACAACCATACTTGGCATTTTATCCTGTATCGTACAGGTTTTCTCCTTGGTGCAATATTACAAACATTACTAATTAGATATTTATTTAATATTAAAATTGAATAAATATCTAATTATCAATATTAATAGCATTATATTAAAAATATTAGTGCAGGTCTCTAAAGGTGTACCAATGCATGATATCCAACACAGAGGATATTGAGATGAGAATATTATAGTGATCTTACTCCGTGCCGTTTATTTACGAGAAACAAACTAGGAGTGAAAATGTTGGATTTTTAATTTTTTACAGTCATCATCATCATCATTACAGCCCTTCACAAGTCCACTGCTGAACATAGGCCTCCCCCAAGGTATGCCACAAAGCACGATCCTGAGCCACCTGCACCAATCGACTTCCTGCATGTCTTACCAGGTCGTCACTCCATCTAGTGGGGCGGTAGCCCTACACTTCACCTACCGGTACGAGGTTGCCACTCGAGAACCCTTCTTCCCGAACGGTTGTCGGTTCTTCGAGCTATATGGCCGGCCCATTGCAACTTCAGCTTACTAATCCGTTGCGTTATGCCGGTCACTCTGGTTCTACTGCGGATATCCTCATTTCTAAGTTTATCACGCGGAGAAACTCCGAGCATAGCCCTCTCCATAGCTCGCTGAGCGACTTTGAGCGTCCTTATACGGCCAGCAGTGAAGGACCACGTCTCGGCTCCGTAGGTCATCACTGGTAACACGCACTGGTTGTACAACTTAGTTTTCAGGTTTTGAGGTATACCTGACGAGAAGATGCGTCGTATTTTCCCGAACGCTGCCTGACCTCTCGGTCGAAGTTGGACTTACCTAGTCGGACTATTTGTCCCAGGTAAACGTACTCGTCAACAACTTTGAGCTTAGTGCTCCCAACAACTACCGGCATAGGTGTGACATAGATTTTAAACATGATCTTTGTTTTGTCCATGTTCATCTTAAGACCTATCCGTTGGGAGGCACTATTGAGGTCATTGAGCATAGTGCTTAAGTCCTCCAGCGATTCTGCCATATGGACTATATCGTCGGCAAATCGAAGGTGAGTGATGTACTCGCCATTGGTGTTAATAATACCGTATCCTTTCCAGTCCAGTAGCTTGAAAACATCTTCCAATGCAGCGGTGAAGAGTTTCGGGGATATAACGTCACCCTGTCTTACACCTCTCTGCAGTTGGATGGGTTTTGTACTCTGGTTCTGTACTCCGATAGCCATCGTAGCCCTAACTACTGTACAAACACTTCAGCACTTCGACTACCGACAGTCAATTTGGCACCGCTGAAGAGACTGTAGCACCACCCAAATTTCACCAGGCAAAGTGGCAGATTGTACTCTTCGGACTTCTGTACAATTTGCCGAAGGGTATGTATGTGGTCTATGATACTAAAGCCTTTTCGGAAACCGGCTTGTTCGGGAGGCTGGAAGTCGTCGAGTCTGCGTGCGAGACGATTCGTAATGACTCTCGAAAACAGCACGTAGACGCGGCTCAGAAGGAATATCGGTCTGTAGTTCTTCAAGAGGGCGTTGTCACCTTTCTTGAAGAACAAAAACACCGCACTTCTGCTCCACGCCTCCGGAGTAGTGCCACCATGGAGGACGGAATTGAAAAGCCTCTGAAGGACTTCAAGTACTGGTTTTCCACCCGCTTTCAGAAGCTCCACTGTAATTCCATCCTCGCCCGGGGACTTGCCGTTTTTAAGGTGTTGGAGAGTCATTCTAATCTCGCTCACGTCCGGGATATCATCGGAATAGTGTCGGATAAGACTTGCTCTTGGATCGTTACTCACACTTGCGTGTGGCTCCAACGATGATGTGTACAGCTGTCCATAGAACCTCTCAATCTCACTCAGAATTTCAGGTGTCCCGGAAACGATGCTGCCACACTCAGTCTTCAGCTTTGACAGTTGGCTCTTACTGGCAGACAGATCTCTAGCAAAGACTTTGGAGCCCTGGTTCCACTAGATCGCTTCTTTAGTACGAGCTGTATTAAAGTCGCGCAAGTCTCGCTCTGTTCAGTTGTCGGTATGCTGTCAAATCTGTTGACGATTGCAGCCCCATCTCCCGTCTAACAGCCATGAGATTAAGAGTGTGATTGGAGAGTTTTTATGTTCTTCTGCAGTGCGTCTTGCAGAACTTAGCTCCGACTGCATGGACAGTTTCCACGAGCTTGTCATTCATATCGTCCACGTTATTGTCAACCTTTCTAGGCATTCTAAGAAAATGGTTCCGTAACTCGAGTTGAAAGGTTTCGGGATTCTGGATTAGAGCACGAGGGGGGACGGAGCGTTGACTTCATTAGACGAGACCTCTCCAACTTAACGTTTAGGTTCAGTGTGCCTCTGACCATTCGGTAATAGCTGGCAGTTTTTACCCTTGCGATCACTCAAACATCACTGAACAGTTGGCGTCTGGTCATCATAATGAAGTCAATCTCATTTTTTGTCGAACCGTCGGGGCTCGACCAGGTCCACTTTCTGTGGGGTCGCTTCTGGAAGAAAGAGTTCATCATAAGGAGTCCCTCTTTTTCATAAAGTCGGCCAGCTTCTGGCCCCTACGGTTCCGTTGCCCTACTCCAAATTTCTCTAACTTCAGCTCACCGCTTTCTCTTGTGCCTAGTTTTGCGTTGAAGTCTCTCATCAACACCATGTAGTGGGTTTTGGAGGAATGCATGGCTCTGGAAATATCCTCATACATTTCCTCCAGCTCCTTATCGGTATATGTGCCGAGGTTGGTGCGTAAACCTGTATGACCTTCAGCGAATACCGTTTGGTGATTCTGAGTATCAGGTACTCGACCCTCGTCGACACACTCTCAATCTTTACAACGTTGTTGACGAGAGACATGTGGACGATAAATCCGACACCTCCTTGGGACAGATGATCTCTCCCTCCCGGTGACAGAACATGTTGCCGGACTCGAGAATTACCGTGTCCTCCCCCTCTCTTCGGACCTCGGATAATCCAATAATATGCCAGCGCAACTTGTCTACCTCTTCTTCCAGCTCCAGTATCTTCTCGTCAGTCCTCAGGGTGCGTGCGTCACATGTTGCCAGGTTGAGTCGTCGTAGGTTGCAACCGAACCTCCACCAGAGATTCTTAGCACCCCCCTGCCTCGCCGTTACCATGGTCGCCACCATAGCCAGGAATAGCAGGGCCACCGAGGACTGGGGGCCGTTTGTTTGCGTCGTTATTTATGGGGGGATATTTGCCATAGTTGCCACGCTTGGCGAGCGGATTGGCAAACGCAGTTTTTTTATTATATTATTGTTGTTATTAGGAAGATGCTGCTGCCCATCTCCTGCCTGTCTCCCTCTGTCGCCTTTTACGACACCCACGGGAAGATATGGGGTAGTGGATATTCTCAACCGCCACTACACGGTTTGTTTTCACAGTGCTTTTATATAAATTTAAAATAGAAAAAATTAAAGCAGTTATTTTTCATACCTTAGTAGGGTGCTCAGGATCTGGTACAGGATTACAAATGCAACGACCACAAACACAGTTGCCGCGTCCCGAACACACCTCGTCCGTGACTTCAGGCGGATAACAATTATTTTTTATTACACCCCCACATGAGCATTCCGCGTTCTCTTCTAAGCTAACTATAAATTAAAGATAGAGAACATTTAAAGATACATCAACGATTTCATTATTTAAAGCTGGAGAGACCGAGGAGGGATGTGACAATTTTTATTTTAACTGACATATCACAGTCTAGAAACGTTCTATATCTAAGAGCCCTTTAAGTCAATGTAGCTCAATCAATACTTTACGAAACAATCATCAAAATTAATGAAAACTTTAAGGTTTCTCAGAAAATCTTAAAAACAGAAAAATTCTTCGTGTCACAACTCTCTTAATACCGTGGTTGTGACAGATACCAAGGTAAGTTGTGACATCTGTATATTTAGACTATTTAGTGAATAAAGAATATCGTTATATTAATGATAAATAAATTATACATTCGTTTTACAACAAAGTACTTTAATCATCGTTTGGCATACCTGTACGAACTAAAATTATATTTAACATCGACATAAATGTATCAGTACCTATCTTAAACAATAAAAATATGGCATCTTTTGAGATTTATTTTCATAAAATCAGTCTAAAACTCAAAATCAAATTCAAGCTAAACAATTATGACAGACGTATTGAAGCTCACCCCTAGTGCAACAAGCTTCGTGGGACCAGCCTTGGCATTCGAGGCATTAGCCAACTTCTCTTTTAATTTGCTATCGACAAAGGGCTCAAGGCAACACAAGCAAAAACAATTATTTTGTGCATCGTCTTTGTCTTCATCCTCTTCGTCATCAACTTTACTTTTCTTAGTAGCCTTCTTCTTTATTTTTTTAGGCTTCTTATTTTCCTCGACTTCCTGTTTGTCTTACCAGGCCGTCACTCGAGAACCTTTTTCTCCATTGGTGGTCGGTTATTCGAGCTATATAGCCGATTCATTGCCACTTTAGCTTTAATCCGTTGGATAGCTTTAATCCGTTGATATAATTCAGTATACAATAATTGTCAAATCGGGCAAATGATGGCGTTACTAATAGCAATACAAAATCATCCAAAATTATTATATTAGGAGATGAACAAGTACAAAAACTAGCTCCAGAAATGATTAAGTCGAGAACAAACAGGTGGAACGATATTTATGCTGTTACGGGGATCGTCAAACCTAACGCAACAAGTTCACAAATTTTTAACAGCTGTGATAATATTATATCTAAACTTAACAAGGATGACATTGTTATTATAGGTCTGGGTGCACATGATAAGAATCCTTACGTTCTATACTCGGAATTGTGCAACGCCCTTTACAAACTGAAAAACAACCATGTATTTATTCTTAGTGTACAATTTAATCCCTATTTAAATTTAAAAAGCTTAATGAGGGCATCCAGCTTTTTACTCAAAACTATACTCATTGTACCTTTATAAACTTAAATAATTTTATCACTTATAAATATACCCAATATAGGCACAAAGGTAATACATTTTTACGAATTAAACATATCTCATTTAAAATCAATATAGAAATTGACTACTTAAACTACAATCTAGAATATATAAAAAACCTAAAATATAATATATGTAGATGCCATATAAATGTTAAAAATACCAATACGTCATCTTATTTTAATAACGGGGATATACGGAATGGATCCAAAATGTCTTTACCATGCAGTTACAAGCCTAAGAACACAAATTAAAACTTTTTTCGTGAATAATTTACGTACACAATATACAGTTAAACTACTTCATCAAAATATTGCAGGCTTTTTAAAAAAACTGGACATATTAGAACTAGCCCTAAACGAAATGAATTCACAAAATTATGACATTGATATCATATGTATTACAGAGACATTTGTAAGGAATGGCTCCGAGTCAAATGTAAAATTAAAAAATTACAATCTCTTATCACATTTTTCCAGAAGTATTGAACGCAGAGGAGGTTCGTGTATTTTAGTGAAAAAACATTTACAATGCGAGTTACTGAATAACCTTATACCACCGATGCCATATTTTTTAGAATACTGCGCCGTGAAAATACTGTCAGTGGATATAATCGTGATATGCATATACAGAACACCAACATCAAACGTAGATCAGTTTTTCAGTAATTTATCATTATTACTTCATAAACTTAAAAACAAGAAAATTTTGCTGTGCGGTGATTGGAACATAGACATCCTTAAAAACACTAAAAACGAAAAAAAATTATTGTCTATATTGGCGTGTCATAATTTATCAGATCACATTAATAAACCAACAAGAAATTCATCATGTATGGACTTAATTGTTAGCAACATAGAAAATGTAAAACCTCAGATACATTGTTTAGCTTTATCCGATCATGAAACAGCTCGAAGTGTTTCGTTTGATATCTGTTATAACTCAGAAAAAATTTGTCCATTACACTGGTTTGAAACACGACGTGACTTAAATACTAATAATATTGATAAGTTTCGAGAATGTATTTTGATCGTTGTCGTTTAGTGAGGTTTTTTCTGAAACTGATACCAATGCTGCATTTGAAAAATTTCATGACATGTTAGTACTTTTTTTATAAACTTTGCTTTCCCCTTATCACTACTAAAAAAGTAAACAAGGTAACAAAAAATAAATGGATAACTAAAGGACTCAAAAGATGCTGCATAGTAAAAAAGATGTCTCTATCTTAAATATAGACTATCCACTCACAACAAGAAAAATAAAAGACGTGAATACATAAAATTTAGTAAAACACTAAAGAGATGTATTTCGGAAGCGCAAGAAAATTTTAACACTAAATATATCGGTCTAAAAACAGGTGTAAGGCAACTTGGGACCTGATTAAAAACAAAGCCACTAACAAGAAAGATGTTGGTCATATTGAAAAAATTAGAGATAATAACAACCTGCTAATGAAACCAGAGGAAATTGCTGAAACATTCAATAAATACTTTATTAACCTTACAAATAAACATAATACCAATAAATATTTAAACTATAAAAATATTTTATTTAATAACAGTATTATGTATCTCACGCCAACTCATCCTAGGGACATCTATAAAACACTTAAATCTTTAAATAATACAAATTCAATAGGTTATGATGAATTAAATGTAAAAGTTTTAAAACAATGCGCTGAATACATCTCAGAACCATTATATTATATTTTAAATCTGTCTCTAAAACAGGGTGTATTTCCAACGCGTATGTAATTCTCCATTGTTAAACCTATGTATAAAAAGGGAGATAAGCAAGACTTTGGAAACTACCTACCAATAACTCTTATTCCTGTGCTCTCAAAAGTTTTCGAAAAAATAATGCATGAAAAACTATATTGTTTTCTTAGCGCCTCTGACATTATAAAGCCAGAACAATTCGGTTTTCGAAGAAACTGTTCCACAACATTAGCATGTTATGAACTGATGAAAATTATAACTGAAAGCTTAAATTCACGAACTCCACTTACTATATTTCTTAATATGAGCAAAGCTTATGACTTCGTATCACACAGTCTTCACTAGATAAATTAGAAAGGTATGAAATAAGAGGAACATCCCAAAACTGGATTTAGAGTTATCTTGAAAACCGTAAGCAGTGTGTAGAAGTTACAAAAGTCATAAAGAACACAAAGATATCAAAACGTTCAATATCTTAACAGTTTTGGTGTTCCACAAGGCAGTGTACTGGGACCTTTGCTGTTCTTGATATACATTGACGATCTTCCTGACTTTACTACAAGCAAATGCATTTTATTCGCTGATGACACTACTCTTATAGTTAAAGGTAATAACATATCTGCACTTTAGAAATCGAGGCTATGGTGCTCTAAATGAGGTCATACAATGGATGAATATAAATAATTTAGATATAAATATAAATAAGACGAAATTTATTGAATATAAAACCCACAAAAACATTTCAAATGACATTAAACTCACATATAACAACTCAATAATTGAAGAAGTCGTTTCCACGACATTTCTAGGAATAATATTTGATAAATTTTGTGTTGAGCCTCATATTTTAGCCTATGTACTAAAAATAGATCGTTTCGTTTTTGCATTGCATAGACTAAGAAATATTTTATCAGAAAGAGCTGCACTGATGGCATATCATGGATATATCTCATCCATACTACGATATGGTGTTCTACTCTGGGGGTATTTGGTGGATTCGGATAAAGAATTTAAAGCACAAAAACGCTGCATAAGAGCTCTTTGTGGTGTTGGTCCTTTAGTGAGTTGCAAACCTTTGTTCAAAACTAAAAAGATACTGCCTTTGCCTTCATTATACATATTTGAAATATGTGCATGTTTGTTCATAAGCATCCATATTTATTTCAACGTAAGTATGATGTGAGTGAAAGTAAGGGTAGATACAAGAATAGGTTATATGCACTAGCAAATCGTCTAAAAGTTACAAAAAAGAAATGCTTCTGCAATGTCGATTAGAATTTATAATAAATTACCTGATAATTTAAAGCGTAAAAGTTTATTGTCATTTAAGAAATCTGTTTTGGCATTGTTGCTCCCTAAATGTTATTATTCTGTAGAAGAGTTCTTAAACAACAACGACCTACATACGAGTAATAATGAATTATAATTTATTAGAATATGATTAATTACGTAATTACAAGATTCTAATCCTAAAAAAATAATGTTTTTGATATTATTTTATATAAAATTTGACTTATGTATTTAATTAATTAATAAATTTGATGTAAAAATAGAAAGAAATTAATGACAATTGGATATGTAACATTATATAATTATTGGCGTAAGAATAATAATTAATATATGACATTGACCTATAATAATAATCTTACTTGATATAATAATACTTACTTATATTTTTTCTGACACTGTGGCATAGTAAATTAATTATCAAATCAAGTAAATAATATTAAATAATTTTATATTTTGATAAATTAATACATATATGTTGTTAAATTCGATAAGTATTGTTGTTTAGGTTACTTGACCATTAATATTTGCACACAATTAAGGTAGAATATGTAGAACGAATTACAACTCAAACACCATTGTACAACCATATTCTTGCAAATAAAGATTATTATTATTATGTGGGGTATCTATAT